CATCTGTATTACACAATACACAGAGAAATCACATTATCGTGATTAATATAGGTCATTATTGTGACCTATATTATTTGGTTCATTTAGTGGCTGGATTTTTTTTTGTTTTGGTTTGAGATTGTTGTTTTGGACACTAATTTTGTTGAAAGATACTTGTGCTGAGGTATTTTCTTGTGTTTAATTTGACTATGTTTCCTCATACTGTTGACTACAGATCTTACTCCATCAACAATTTCTTGTAAAGATATACTTTTTGTAATGTGATTACATACTAGCTAAAAATCACAAGGAATTTTCATCTGAATATCTAAATTTAGTGTCCATTCTGCAGCTGTAGTGTCAGCTTTTGTGTTGAGTACAATATATAAGGATTTTACCTCCAATCTGAAACTTTAAAGGAAATGAGGTTGATTAATTGGAGATTAATCCACAAGTCTGTAGTAAAGATTGGCATAAGTCATCTGTGGTCATCTATTGATAAGTCATCAATAGTGGCTTTAGGCATTGTATGTACTAGCTCCTATCTATAAAGCCAACAAACTTTGTAAAATCTCTTTATGTATGTACCTTTGCCTAAATAAAAATTATTATTATTATTATTATTATTATTATCTCTGTATTAGTATAATTATCCTTCGGAAGTTGGAAAGTTACATTATTGTTATCATCTGTGAGGTCTAAATTAACAATTACTGCTTTGGCCTCACCTGTATGTTGACCTTGCAAGTGCGTGAACGTGGTGACTTTAGCTACTGAGGCTTGAGAACTTAAGGCCTCAAAAGAATTCCAAAAACTGTCCCAACGTTCCTCATTCAGACCTGCAAAGGTTGGTAAGCTAACTGTTGGAAGCTGTACCTTGGGTTGTATCGAGTTTGTAGAGGAAGTTTGATAAATTGTGGCATTATATTGTGCAAGCATGGTGATCGAGGAATTCAGTTTGGTTTGTGTATTATCTTCATGCTGTTCTGATTCTGCCATGATTGTATCCAGGTCCGCAGCTGTTATTATGGTGCTTGAAAGTTCTATTTGACAAGTTTCTTTTATTCTTTTGATTTGATCACCTGTTGATAGCTACTTTTAAAATATATTTCTAGTTGTATATAGCCAACTGGTGTTTGGATAACTCATCTCACATGCTAATTTGTTTGATTAAGTGCCATTTGACTTTGGCTTAGGGATGATTGCTAGCTAAGTGGGTTTATTTAACTTGATATATTATTTTTAAATAAGTGTAAGTGTATATACTTTAGTAACCAATCCAGTCTGCTAATAGGTTGTGATTCTCAGTTCGTGCCTCACATCCATTGCAGAATCTGGATTAACTGACCTTTTGATAATTAAAAGAGTTAATTTGTATTATATTAGGCCTGAATGCACATTTTCTTTTTTCTTAATGTGCATCGAGACTCTTGCAATGAAAACTTATTAATGTACATGTCTTATCATTTGGTACAATTAACTCACTATTTGATAGTGACTAATGAAGATAAAAAGATCCTGGTAATAAGATATTAATAGTGGGACTGTAATGAGATATTAATGAAGAAATGTTGATAATATGATCCTACCCTTATATTTGTGTCATCAGACTCAGGAGTAATGTGGTATGTAAATATTATAGTGCTTCTGACCAAACAACCACTCACATAAATTTATTAATAACACTTTAGACTAAGTTAGATATAGTGGTTGTGCATGTGCAGTGTATAAAGGGAATGAAATGATCATGTCTAGTACACGGAGATTGAACAACTGGGCAAGCACGACACAGACTGAGCTATTGGGTATTTATCTAGCCATTGAATACCTTAAGCTCAATGGTGTTGGAATGATATTTTGTGACTAAAAGTGCTCTGCAGTCCTTAAATAACCCATCACAATGTATGTCTGAAGTAGCTTGTAATATTATATGGAATGTAATTTTTGCCAATGATAATAACTATTGTATAAAATTTGTGTGGATCCCATCCCATTTTGGAGTTGGAAAACATGACTTTGTAGATCGATGGGCCAATGAGGCATGCAGGAAAGAAAACACTGATTATGACTTTGGATCTGGTGGTGCTGATAAAGATTATTATCTCAATCTCCTTACACCAAACGTACGTTTTAAAATTACAGTTCTAGTCTTTTAATCTGAATACTGTTATTCGTCAGCTTTGAAGAACCAGACAATTGTGGAGAATTGAAAAGCACACTCGCCCAATACTAAAGGACTCTCATCTTAGACCAAATAGGTTTAGGGATCAAGCCTAGCTACAATGTACAGTTATTCGTGCGTATATAAATGATAGATTTAAGATGAAATCAATATCAACAAAATCAACAAAATAATGTGAGCATCTCAACTTAAGCTGCGTTAGAAGACGTAGTCCTCTGTTATACCTAGGACTTCCTGAAGGGACCAAAGGTATTAAGGTTTAGGAATGATGTCTGCTGCTTTCGCCAACCTAAGGAGAATTTCACAACTGGAAAATGCTTTCATAAACTTGCATGCAGTACAGCAGGGGCACTTAATCATTATGAACTTAATAAATATAGTCAAGGAACAACAGTAATCTTTATGTTATAGCCTAGTTTAAGCACAATAATGAATTTGATTAAAATATGAAATCAGATTTATCTGAAGTTATTTTCATGAACTAGAGTATTCTTTACTAAATAATACCAATTTTAAGTATGGATACGAACGTGTAGTGGGAGTTTAACCCTGTGGTGTGACCAAATTAGTGGCATCAGTATTTCTTACCAGCATGGATCTATAATCGATTAAGAGAAAAAACTACTGTCAACTGCCCCTATATTCAAATTATAAGCGTCGGAGTCCAGGTGCCCGAGTCCGCCTCAGGGTCGTGCAGGCGCTATTACCTCTCCTTCAAGCTAGCCACTATAATTTTTCTATCATCATCGGCGAACTTTAACTACGTATCTAACAACAACAAAGTTATCGTTAGATACTTTGTATTTGTTAAAAAAGTATTTGTTTGTATCTGTTAACAGATACAAACAGATTGTTCTGGTGACAGTCTGTGACAATCTGATACAACCCAAATTACAGCTTCCAACAGTTAACTTACTAACCTTTGCAGGTCTGAATGAGGAACGCTGGGACAGTTTTTGGAATTCTTTTGAGGCCTTAAGTTCTCAAGCCTCAGTAGCTAAAGTCACCACGTTCTGGTGACAATCTGTATCTGTCAGTCACATATAATATACGTGGCATAAGACAATTAAGGAGGGGTTCTTAGTGACTCCCCTCACAACCATGTGGTAACTTCAGTGGTAATGGGGTAGTTGGACTGTATGTAGTCTCTGTAACACCGTTACAAACGAGGGGATAGCAATGTCGTAACTAAATTCTGATTTCTTTCTCCTCTGTTCAAGCCTAGGCCTATTTCCAGTGATGAATTTGCATACCAAGGCTCTGGCTGGCGTTAGTTGTTAATTATCTTAAAATAAGGTGTTGCATATAAGTTTGTTGTAGTATGATTTTGAGTTGGTCAGTAGTTGTACATAAACTAGTTATCGACATTTCCCTAGCAGGACAGTTGAGAGGTAGGACCAAAGAGCCAAGGCTCAACCCACGCAAGCACAACTAGGTGAGTACAGTAACGAAATCATTTCCATGCATAATAAGTCGTAATTGAATTAATCAGCAATTTGCACGTTGCACTCTTCTTTAATTAATAGAATATAATGTAATTTGAATATCATGGGTTTAGCATGTAGTAGGCTGTTTTAGCATATAATTTTTTTTTAGTTTTATAGTGTGGTCTTAAAATATACTTTTTATATACTTTTGTTTTTCAAATGTCCCTCAGATAGCAATTTAAGGTAACATTCAGCGCAGCTATCGGCAGGATTTGGGGATTAATTCTGCTAATCCCCAAAAAGTTTGGGGATTTGAATTTGTCAATATATCTTAATGATATATTCTGACCAATAAAAGAACTATTGGAAACTTTGCATCAGCCTTCATATACTTCAGTAGTCTTAAATGTATATACTGCAGTAGTCTTAAATGTCTACCTGCATATACTGCAAGAATCTACCTATATGTATATATATATATATATATATATATATATATATATATATATATATATATATATATATATATATATATATATATATATATATATATATATATATATATATATATATATATCGCAATAGTCTACCTGCGTATACTGCAGACGTCTACTTGAATATAAAGCAGTATACTCCCATACATGCTGCAGTATACTGCCATACATACTGCAGTAGACTACCTATACATACTGCAGAAGTATACCTCTATATACCGCAGTAGCCTACCTGATAACACCGGCCAATTTGGACAATTATTATATTGACAGGAAAAAAAAAGTCTAAATATATTTTTGAAAATTTTATATTACCTCTTTACCTATGACAGGATTCGAGAGTCTTTCTACACTAACTGGAATCCTAATTATCAACTGTATTTTGTTTTTGCTCCTATTTATTAATTAATTCTTAGGCTTTATTTTCATTCAATTTGATTAAAGTTAAAGTATTTAAATAAATTAAAGTTTTCAAAGTGCTTTATTCTCAGGCTGCGCTTTCGAATTGCCTTTCCGTAAAAAAATGCAACTGTTTTATTTAACCAGAAACGTCAAAGATGCCGTTGTTTTGCCTAATCGGAAATGTGAAAAACGTTTCAATTGTCTTGCCCGATCAGAAGCGTACGAACCCAAGCAACCCACCTAACCTTTTCAAGGCCGATCTTAAACAAAAGCTGAGTAGATTGCTATGAATGCGTCCTGATTTAGGCTTCTAAACCTAAATCTAATTTAAATCTAATAAACCTAATTATTAGGTTCCTAATTATAATAATAATAATAATAGTTTATTCAGGTCAAAGTACATGGATATAAAATGAGTTACAAATAGAATGTTGGAGTTTTAGATAAAGCTAGTATATATCATGCCTATAAAGCCACTAATACGCCCACGGCGTTTCGGGCACTGTGCTGATATCGATGTCACGTCCCTACCTGCCGATGTCACGTCCCCGCCTGCCGATGTCACGCCCCCGCCTGCCGATGTCACGTTCCTGCCTGCCTGCCGAAGTCACGTTCCTGCCTGTCGATGTCACGTTCCTGCCTGCTGATGTCACGTCCCTGCCTGCCGATGTCACGTCCCCGCCTGCCGATGTCACACCCCCGCCTGTCGATGTCACGTCCCCGCCTGCCGATGTCACGTCCCCGCCTGCCGATGTCACACCCCCGCCTGTCGATGTCACGTCCCCGCCTGCCGATGTCACGTCCCCGCCTGCCGATGTCACGTCCCCGCCTGCCGATGTCACGTTACGTGTGCTTCTGGTGTTAGGGAGAGAATTATATATATATATATATATATATATATATATATATATATATATATATATATATATATATATATATATATATATATATATATATATATATATATATATATATATATATGTATGTATCATATCATTATTTACCTATCAGTACATATAAGTACTAACCTATCAGTACTTACCTATCAGTGTTCAGCTAACAGCCCCAACAAGGGTGTTATGCATCATGAGGCCCCCCCCCCTAGGCCTACTGTCAACATTGCCCTGTATGTAAGCCGCAGCAGCTCCTTAACTGCAAGATACCTATATTTACTGCGAGGTGAACAGGGTCATCAGGTGAAAGATAATGTCGCCCAAACGTTTCCGCGCTCTCTCCAAGGTGATCGAACCAGGGATGTTTAGGTTGTGAAATCGACTATAGTGAGCCCAGCCCTCCTCTTGAGAGGTTATCTTGAGATGATTTCGGGGCTTAGCGATCCTGCGGCCCGGTCCTCGACCAGGCCTCCGTTTTGTTACACGCCCCCAGGAAGAAGCAGCCCGTAGCAGCTGTCTAACGCCCAGGTACCTATTTACTGCTAGGTAACAGGAGCATTAGGGTGAAAGACACTTTTTGCCCATTTGTCTCCGCCTCCACCGGGGATCGAACCCGGAACCTCAGGGGCCAGATTCACGAAAGCACTTACGCAAGCACTTACATACCTGTGCATCTTTTCTCAATCTTTGGCGGCTTTGTTTACAATTATTAAACAGTTAATGAGCTCCGAAGCACCAGGAGGCTGTTTATAACAATAACAACAGTTGAATGGGAAGTTTTCATGCTTGTAAACTGTTTAATAAATGTAACCAAAGCCGTCAAAGATTGAGGAAAGATGTACACGTTCGTAAGTACTTGCGTAAGTGCTTCCGTGAATCTGGCCCCAGGACTACGAATCCGAAGCGCTGTCCACCCAGCTGTCAGGCGCCCTTCAATAGTCCTGGTGGTTATATAGCCATGGTTTGGACGAACGTACGAAAATAGACTGTTGTAGACCACAATGTTCACATCTTGTGCTATTAATTTTATTCAGAGAAAGAAAAAACTAATTTAACCAGAAGCCAAAGATACATTTTCCTTGGCTTAGTGACAGGGAGGGACAGCTGAGTGGAGAGCGCTCGGGATTCGTAGTCCTGACGTTCCGGGTACGATCCCCGGTGGAGGGGAAACAAATGGGTAGAGTTTCTTTCACCATGATGCCACTATTCACCTAGCAATAAATAGGTACCTGGGAGTTAGACAGCTCCTACGGGCTGCTTCCTGGGGGGGTGAGTAACAAAAAAAAAAAAGTCCTGGTTGAGGACCGGGCCGGGGGACGCTTTCGACCCCCCGGGCCGGGGGGACGAAATCATCGTCCGGGGGGACGATGATTTCGGGGGGACCCCGAAATCATCTCATGATAACCTCAAGAAGATAGTATACAGCCCGTAGGCACTATATAAGGGCCTTAATATAGCGTATATTAGGCCAAGGAATACTGGGTCATGCTTAGGTTAGGTTCTTTATATATAATAAATTTTTAATGTTTTTTTTATTTTACAATGAACGACGTGTTGGTAGTTAAATAGAACGAAACGTTAACCTCTTTGGGTTCGGAGAGTTCTTGTTTGTATGTTTAACCAAAAAGTGGGTACGAGTACTGTTACTATGGGAGGGGGGGGAGGAGGGAGGGGGGGGAAGGAGGATTGGGGGGGGGGGAGTATTTCACTCGACTGTTTGGGACCATTGTATAGCAATCTTATCAGTAAGGTCTCTTACGCCCCTTTTGTTGTTACTGTGTGACCTTATCGTGCCCGTGACACGTGTGTGTGTGTGTGTGTGTGTGTGTGTGTGTGTGTGTGTGTGTGTGTGTGGGTGTGTGTGGGTGTGTGTGTGTGTATTCACCTATTTGTTGTTGCGGGGGGTTGAGCTCTACTCTTTCGGCCCGCCTCTCAACTGTCAATCAATCAACTGCTACTAATTACTATTTTTTTTCCACATACACACTCACACATGTGCACACACACACACACAACTAGGTGTGTGCAAGCACAACTAGGTGAGTAGACACACACACACACACACACACAAGTTCCTTCTAACGTCTCTGTGGCTCATGTGAGTACTCAGTTTCCACCTGTGTCCCCTTGTTCGCGTCCCACCAGTGTTGAATAGTTTATCCTTGTTTACCCGGTCGATTCCTCTGAGGATTTTGTAGGTTGTGATCATGTCTCCCCTTACTCTTCTGTCTTACGACACTGGAAGACAGAAGAGTAAGGGGAGACATGATCACAACCTACAAAATCCTCAGAGGAATCGACCGGGTAAACAAGGATAAACTATTCAACACTGGTGGGACGCGAACAAGGGGACACAGGTGGAAACTGAGTACTCACATGAGCCACAGAGACGTTAGAAGGAACTTTTTCAGTGTCAGAGTAGTTAACGGATGGAATGCATTAGGCATTGATGTGGTGGAGGCTGACTCCATACACAGTTTTAAATGTAGATATGATAGAGCCCAGTAGGCTCAGGAATCTGTACACCAGTTGATTGACAGTTGAGAGGCGGGACCAAAGAGCCAAAGCTCAACCCCCGCAAGCACAAATAGGTGAGTACAAATAGGTGAGTACACACACACACACACACACACACACACACACACACACACACAGGAGTCAGAGAAGGAAAAAGACTTGGGGGTTGATATCACGCCAGACCTGTCTCCTGCAGCACATATCAAGCGGATAACATCAGCGGCATATGCCAGGCTGGCCAACATACGAACGGCATTCAGAAACTTGTGTAAAGAATCATTCAGAACTTTGTATACCACATATGTCAGGCCAATCCTGGAGTATGCAGCCCCAGCATGGAGTCCATATCTAGTCAAGGATAAGACTAAACTGGAAAAGGTTCAAAGGTTTGCCACCAGACTAGTACCCGAGCTGAGAGGTATGAGCTACGAGGAGAGACTATGGGAATTAAACCTCACTTCGCTGGAAGACAGAAGAGTTAGGGGGGACATGATCACCACATTCAAGATTCTGAAGGGAATTGATAGGGTAGATAAAGACAGCCTATTTAACACAAGGGGAACACACACATGGGGACACAGGTGGAAACTGAGTGCCCAAATGAGCCACAGAGATATTAGAAAGAACTTTTTTAGTGTCAGAGTGGTTGGCAAATGGAATGCATTAGGGGGTGATGTGGTGGAGGCTGACTCCATACACAGTTTCAAGTGTAGATATGATAGAGCCCAATAGGCTCGGGAATCTGTACACCTGTTGATTGACGGTTGAGAGGCGGGACCAAAGAGCCAGAGCTCAACCCCCGCAAACACAACTAGTTGAGTACACACACACACACACACACACACACACACACACACACACACACACACACACACACACACACACACACACACACACACACACACACACAGGAAGCAGCCCATAGCAGCTGACTAACTCCCAGGTACCTATTTACTGCTAGGTAACAGGGGCTTCAGGATGAAACAAACTCTGCCCATTTTGTTTCTGCCATCACTAGGGATTGAACCCCGGGCCCTAGGATTACGAGCCCCGACCGCTGTCCACTCAGTTATCAGCCCCCCCCCCCTGTGTGTATGTGTGTATGTATATGTGTGGCTGGATGCCATCATGGTGAAGGGGAGGGAAGATGGTGAACCTAATTGTGCTTGGGTAGTGAAAATATTGATAGTGATGAAGACAGTAGATAGTGATGATGCTAACAGTGACAGGGTGAAGTGATAGGGTTTACAGCGATAGGGTGACCGTTACCTTCACTGTAAAGACTGTAAACAGTGTTTACAGTGAAGGTAGTGTGTAGGTAAGATGGTTATAGTGATGAAGATGGTGAGTAGTGAAGATGTGGCTGGCGTGCAGGCACCCGAGCAACGCCGGGTACCCGTCTCTACCACTAGCTGGCACTAGCTGTCTCCCTGACGGCTAGGAGCCAGGGAGGGAGGGAGACAGGGAGAGACAGTACCAAGCTAGGGTCAGGGAGGAGCTCAGGGAGACAGGGGAGAGACAGTACCAAGCTAGGGGTCAGGGAGGAGCTCCGGGAGACGGGGGAGAGACAGTACCAAGCTAGGGGTCAGGGAGGAGCCCCGGGAGACGGGGGAGAGACAGTACCAAGCTAGGGGTCAGGGAGGAGCTCCGGGAGACGGGGGAGAGACAGTACCAAGCTAGGGTCAGGGAGGAGCTCCGGGAGACAGGGAGAGACAGTACCAAGCTAGGGGTCAGGGAGGAGCTCCGGGAGACAGGGAGAGACAGTACCAAGCTAGGGTCAGGGAGGAGCTCCGGGAGACAGGGAGAGACAGTACCAAGCTAGGGTCAGGGAGGAGCTCCGGGAGACGGGGAGAGACAGTACCAAGCTAGGGTCAGGGAGGAGCTCCGGGAGACGGGGAGAGACAGTACCAAGCTAGGGGTCAGGGAGGAGCTCCGGGAGACAGGGAGAGACAGTACCAAGCTAGGGTCAGGGAGGAGCTCCGGGAGACAGGGAGAGACAGTACCAAGCTAGGGTCAGGGAGGAGCTCCGGGAGACGGGGAGAGACAGTACCAAGCTAGGGGTCAGGGAGGAGCTCCGGGAGACAGGGAGACAGGGAGAGACAGTAC